CGAAACACGACGATTTTGTATACGAATGTAACCGCTTCTATTTTGGAAAATGAGAATATCTTGAACATCAAAATGGTGGCCCCTTAAGCTCGTGACAGTACGCGCGTGCTTAACCGGTGATTGGATTAACATGATTAAAGGTCTCATCCCGATATATGCAAAATTTATTGATTGATTAAATAGCTGGCGGTAATATTGCGTTATTTAAGCTTGAAAGGGAGAGCAGTTAAGCTTAAAGTTCCAAATGTTCTTCAGTTATGAGCAACTTATTAAATCTGATGGACAATTTTCCGTTGCATGGCTTCTTTCCTTTTTCTCTAAGAAAACGATTCCGAGATCTACTGCTTTATCATGTTCAGTATCACAAATCTGGTATGAAATTTTCTTACACTTGCATTTTAAAAATTAATTTAGCGAGGAACTAATAAAGCGTTGTCCAACTAGAAATAGTACATTTGCTGATGTTAAAAAAAACTTTTCTTTGTACCTCCATGGACGATTGCTCTATGGGGCCACCATTTTGATGTTCAAGAAACAAGCAATGCTTGAAAGTGAGTCTATTAGATATTCATTGTTGAAGCTTCCATTCATTTTCTTAAGAAGATCTGGAGACCCTTTATGAAAAACTAAGAAGCCATTCTTGGCGACGTTTTCTAGATACTGAACTGAATACCAGTGATTCAAACAACCAAATGTTAGAAAGTGATATGGTTCGTTGTGAATTGTGTTTACGTGTATGTCATAGAAAAGTTTTAAAGGACTTCAACGCTATGGTTAAAAGTTTGGATAAAAACTGGCTGCAACTCCTTGACAGCGATTCGATCTTCGAGTTGAATTCTATGGATGAAAGGGAAATACCTTTCGATTTCTTGTATAATACTTTCTTAGTTCATATATGATCATATGCTTAAGAACCAACGAATCCATTACTGCTAATGCCCAGACCTGCTCAGATATATCCTTGCTCACCGATGTGAGTTCACCAATTGCTACAGTATCATATAGTTGTTTAGATATCCGGGTACCTTTTCAATAACGCGGGTCCATTCCAAGTTTCCGACTTTTCTGATAATCTTGAAGTAAGCCAAGTTACTCTGTATTTAACTTTTCTGTTTCAAGGATAACAATCGTAACGTTTATCCTAACATTGATCATTATGAAGCTCAGCCTGATGCTCTACCACCAGAGTATGAGCTGTCCAGCTTTCCGAAGGATTCTTTCCAAATGCCTGCACGATTAGAACCAGAAAATAAGCAAGCATCTGTTCTACCTCAGCCGGAGCCTGTGCCTGCGCCGCATGAAGAATGCAAGCAGGAGTCTGAAGAAGAAAAGCATGAGCCTGTGCCACAAGAACCAGAACCTGTAATAGCACCAGCAGTAGCGCCAGTACCATCACCGGGACGAGAATACAAGCAGGAGGCAGAGCTAGAACTTGTACTGCAAGATGATTTTCAACTAGCACCAGCACATTCACTATTGGATCCCGCTGTACAGATACAAAATTCTGAACAGGTGTTCGAAGAATCTTGGCAGTCATTATTGAATCATGCGGCTGAAGATCGGGAAAATAAAAAGAGAGAAGTTTTCTAGAAAGATGAGACAAAGTTAACCTATCCATCTAGACATTTTCCGATAGAATGGAAAGGAGGTTCAGAAAGAAAAAACAGACTTTTGACGAAACCACAAAGGTTGTCTTGGAAACATCGAAGTCTTAACTTTATAATCTACAGCTATCAGAAGACATGATATTGTCCAACATTGAAACGTACGCCGATACATTGGTTGATAGAAAAATCGTAGAACCGGAGAAAACCTATCCGACTGTGGATGAATTGCTCCAACTAGCAAATCCTGGGTGGCCAAAAAGTTTTTAAAGATATCTTTCGATATTTTTTAATAGCTGTCTTCAGAATTACACTACCTTTTCCGAGCTGTTCCTCACAAACCAATGAATCGGGAAGAAACAGTAGTCTATTCTTCATTTGAGTTTTTGAAGTCATTCTTTACAGAAAACATTGTTCAATACATTCCCTGTTGCGGGATTTTTCAAAGAGGCTGATGAGTCTCATTATGAGGAAATGTTTGACGATATGAGCAGAACTCCTGGATATACTGGAATATACGAGGATTCGTATGAGATAATACCAGAATGAATTTAATCTTTTTTCTTCAGGCTGTATGGTAATGCGACTCCTGGACGATGTGACGTGAGTTCTTCGTTGAGATTATTACTTTACGTTGTTTTCACTGGTTCCAGGATCTTACAGCAATGTCACGGGAAGGAAGTGAAGAAACTGAAAAAGTCCGTCGTGCAACAAGATCTTCTATTTTTGGTAAGATAAGATTATGAGTTCCCAAAAAGATTCGTTTAGAACCGTTCGCTCCTGCGGATATCGAGCTTGCAGACGATGTTTTTACCGAAAGCGCCCAACCTGGAAGATTCACTTTCTGCATTAAAGGAAAGTGAGTAAATGAGCACTCAACAAGTCGATATGATTCGGTTTTTTTCAGAGTTCTAGAAGACAGGAAGAACACTTATGAAATAATAAGAACGTAAAACGTTTCTAGTTTAATGAAAAGTTTACTGAAACTTTCAGAGAAATTAATGATTCTGAAGATGGATTGATGTTCTCAAAACTACTCCCTGTGTCGACTACATCTTATGACATTGCAGCCAAATACTTCGGATGCTTACTAGGTAACAAATAGTTTAAACGTAGAGAAATAACTCCCCACAGATTTGCTCGCGTTGAAGGATATCAAAGCTGAACAACTTGAACCATACGGTGAAATTATTCTTTCGAAACGTTAACAATCAGTTCTAATTATGTTGAAAAGTAACATGTACTATCCGTTCGTTATGGAAAAAAAACTAATTCTATCCCATCTGTGAATATTAATAGTTCTCGCTAATAAATGTAGAACACTCACTTTTCCACTTTTCTTAATCTCAATTTTCAAAACAATATGCGCATCATATTTCAAATCTAATCAATCCAAGCGAGTCAACTGTAGTGTCTGATCGTTCTTAGTTTAGAAGTTTTGCATGTTTCAAGTTTTTAAAAACTGTTTTCCAGCAAGTACGATGTTTCTTCAACTTTTTTTGAACTGGTGTGATCAATGAAACTCCATTTGGTTCTCACGCTTAAACCAAGGATCAACACCTTTATCAACGAATAAGATAGGCTGCAGCTCCTAACTCAAATTGTTTAAATCCTTGTGTCACTTCCAGAACCAACAGTTCGTAGAGAGCGTAAACAGCTGTAGTCCTGTGAGAGAGTGGTCCGGATCGCTTTCCAATTCAGAAACACCAAGAAGAAACTGAAAAATGAACTCATACAGAAGTAGAACAGAAAACAACTAACCCTTCAATGAACGTTCTGATTTCAACAGCTGGTAATAGAGCTAATGCTTTTGATAACACATGCTGAGGATACCATAACAGGAAGAGCCAATGAAAAACAAGGGCAAGTGATATAATTCCCTGACAAAAGCTGTATGAATACATTCTTATATTCGTGCGCATAACTGATACATTCGGTGATGTTGCTTTATTTTTCTGAAAACGAAGAAATGAAACGGGGTGTTGAAAAGTTTAAAAGTGACCCAGAACTTAAGAACCCAAACTAAGGTCCAAAGGTTCAAAGCAGTTGTGATGGCTATTATCGGAATAACCAAATAAAGAGAAGAATAAGTGTCATATCTACGACAAAATCGTTTGTTCTCAACATAATCATAGGTCATATTAGGTAGAATGTTCATAATGCACCCTAGAGCACTTGGAAGTAACTATGAAAGATTGGACATACTTGTGACAGTCAGTTTCAATATCTTCTCTATAACAGCTGGAAACATGGGTCCTAAGCCCAAGAACTTAAACAACAATGGAAAAATCAGATTGATGAAATTGACTTACAAGTTGATATCTTTCAGAAAATATTCTGTCATAATAGTTCCAAAATATGATGGCTATGACTCGGTTCAGTGCGAAAAGAACTTCTGAATATACGAAATACCGGGAAGATGTGTATATTATCTGAACCGTTATGTCTTTGATGATTTGATCACTTAAAGAAATTAATTTTGAAGCAATTTTAAGTCATTTACAAATAGAAAGGTTCAATATAGCTATAGAGGGCTGCCGTCAGGCAAACACAGCAAGTCATTGAGCGAAAGCAACAAAGGTTATTGAACTGATTTCGGAAATCTTTACTCCTGAGGTACTGTCTCAAATATGTTACATGAAACGCTAAAGCAGCCAGGAGAACCTACAACCATAAACATCTAGGAAGAAGAAGATAGGAAATTTTACAAACCAGAACGAAAGGCATATGCATCCAGAAGTAGAAGTCCATCATTATCATTGCTTGTCTCTTCAGAAGAACTTCAGTTAATCTTTGTCAGAGAGAAACTCTGAACACATTTCTGATAAACTTCAGTTTACGAATTCGTTAATGGAGCATTTGATTAAATTCCCAGTAGCATTCGAGAAAAACAAGCTGTAAATCACTTAAGAAAGATATAATTTTGCTAACTTTTATGTCCTCCCACTGGGAAAGCCCGATACAGATGCGTTTTTCAGAAAAAATATGACTTTCATTCTAATATGTTTTTTATACAAACTCACTTACCTGAACTGCAACTTCAACATGAAACTGCTTGAGTTTGCTTTTCGTTTTACAATCTGATTCCATTTACTACCAAAAAAACAGTGAAAATAAAGTCTTGTTCGTACAACAGTTCTCCCGAAAACAGCGGAAATATCATAACACCCTCAGCAATTGAGTTTCTCACCAAAAATTAAACCCTTCTTTGGTAGACTTGGAGGAAAGCGCGCCCCATTCGCACAATGTGGTTACGGTAGCTAAGATAATGCTATATGAAGCGAAACTTCAAATTATTCGAATTATAAAGCTATGTATTATTGTTGATAAAATATTGGTTCTAAGCATTTTTTTCAAATAATTTTAGACATGAGTGACGACGAGGGTCCAATTGCCGAAAATAAGCCGTTAAGGCTTCCTAAGAAAGCCCAGCGTGTCAAGAACAAGGTAGGATACACTTAAGCATCGCCGAAAGATTTCACTCCAACTTCAGGCACCTGCGGAAGTTCAAATTACTGCAGAACAACTTCTGAGAGAAGCCAAAGAAAGAGAACTTGAATTATTACCTCCACCACCTAAGCCTAAGGTATTTTTCTACATATTTTAATGAATCCCATTGCTTCATTTTGAGATTACCGATCCCGGTGAGCTCGCTGAGTATCAAAGAAAAAAAAGAAAAGAGTTCGAAGATGGAATCCGTAAAAACAGGTAATATTCTTTTTTATTATTTATTTTCAAACGTTACTTCAGAATGCAAATTGCAAATTGGATCAAATATGGTAAATGGGAGGAATCCATTGGTGAAGTTCAGAGGTTTTTTTGACAATTCCATTCAAATATTGAAACTGCTTCTTAAGATCTCGATCAGTATTTGAAAGAGCTCTCGATGTGGATCATAGATCAATTACTATTTGGTTACAATATGCAGAAATGGAGATGAGGTTTATTTGAATTTGTACGAATGAAAAAATGCTTTCTTCATCAGATCCAAGCAGATTAATCATTCAAGAAATGTGTTTGACCGTGCTGTTACTATTTTACCAAGAGCTATGCAATTCTGGCTCAAATACTCATACATGGAAGAAGTCGTAGGTAATTTACCAGGAGCTCGTCAGGTACTTATCACCCTGCGACATCATAATGAAAGAGCGAACAGGTCTTTGAAAGATGGATGGAGTGGGAACCACCTGAGCAAGCTTGGCAAACGTATATAAACTTTGAACTCAGGTTTGTTTCTATGGAAACTTCTTCAATGATAAAATTTTCTTTCAGATATAAAGAAATTGATCGCGCTCGATCAATATATCAAAAGTTCTTACATGTTCATGGAACTAATGTGCAAAACTGGATAAAGTACAGTCGTTTCGAGGAGAAAAATGGTTATATTGGTAATGCTCGTGCTGTAAGTTGTTTCTTATCTAGACTTGTCTCTGTAACAAAGTATCAACAGGCTTATGAACGTGGTATGGAGTACTTCGGTGAAGATAACATTGAGGAACCCTTATTAATTGCTTTTGCACAGTTTGAAGAAAGACAGAAAGAACATGAGAGAGCTCGCGTTATATACAAGTAAGTTTATTTTGTCCTAGTTAATTGTCTATTACCTAATTTGTGTGTTTCACACAAATGCCACAGCTTGTGAGAAAATCTATTTTTGAAATCGTTTCTAAGTGCTTTTCTGCATATTTTTTCGTCATATTGCAATTAGTGAATGTTCCCTTTGGTGCTTCTCTCGTCTCTATGAAATGCTTTAAGATATGGATTAGATCATCTCCCATCTCACCGTACCGCTGAAATATTCAAGCACTATACCATTCATGAGAAAAAGTACGGAGAACGTGCTGGTATCGAAAACGTTATTGTCAGCAAACGTCGAACTCAATATGAAAAGGTGTGTTACCCTCGAATCTTTCTTTATTTTTTTTTCGATTTCCAGCAAGTGTCTGAAAATTCATTCAACTACGATGCTTGGTTTGACTACCTGCGTCTTCTAGAAAATGAGGAGTGTTCTCGAGAGGAGGTTGAGGATTGTTATGAAAGAGCAGTAGCTAATATTCCCCCTCATATGGTATTTCATTCTCCCCGTCTTGCAAATCAGTGCTTGTCTTTAGGAAAAGCGACATTGGAGAAGATACATATATCTTTGGATCAACTATGCTTTGTATGAGGAACTAACTTGTAACGATGTGGAGAAAACAAGAGAAGTTTGTGATACAGTGTGACCAGTTTACATATTTTCTCATTTAGATTTTCAAATATTGCCTGGAGATCATTCCACACAAGAAGTTCACCTTCGCAAAGATTTGGATAATGTACTGTCAGTTTGAAATCAGACAAAAGCGATTGCAAGATGCAAGAAAAATCATGGTAGGAAATGCGCTATTTACAAAAGTATTTTTTCCTTTCAGGGTACTGCTATTGGTAAATGCCCAACTGACAAACTATTCAGATCCTACATTGATCTCGAACTACAACTACGTGAGTTTGACCGCTGTAGAATGCTGTATCAAAAGTTCCTTGAACATTCTCCGGAGAACAGCTCTACCTGGATTAAGGCATGTCGTCAACGCCTCATCTCTGATCAATTCAATCGTTTAGTTCGCTGAGTTGGAAACTTTACTGGGAGACACAGAGCGTGCGAGAGCATTGTTTGACATAGCTATAAACCGTCCTGCTTTGGATATGCCAGAAGTATTTTGAATTGCATTCAATCCTGTGTAAATTGACGATATTTCAGATTTTATGGAAGTCGTACATTGATTTCGAGATAAATCAGGAAGAATACGATAGAGCCCGAGAATTATATGAATCATTATTGCAAAGAACTAATCATATAAAGGTGTGGGTGTCTCTTGCTGAGTTTGAACAATCCATTGGCAATAATGAAGTTGCCCGAAAGGTATGATTCGAACTTTATTTTTGTAAGGATAGATCTTCTCTTCAGGTATATGAAAGAGCAAACTCCGCACTGGAAAATTCAGAGAAAGAAGAAAGACTCATGTTGTTAGAAGCTTGGTTATCATCAGAAAAGCAAATTGGAGATGCAACACAGATTGAACGGTTTTTGGAACTTTTATGTATTTAACTAATTTTTTTCATTCAGGGTTTCCAATCTTATGCCACGCCGTGTGAAAAAAAGAAGACAAATCCAAACTGATGATGGTGTTGATGCTGGTTGGGAAGAGTATTACGATTACATTTTCCCACAAGATCAAGGTAACCATAATCATCAAACATACATTATTTTTTGATTCAGCTTCAAAAGGATCGTTCAAACTCTTGGCTGCTGCTGCTCGTTGGAAAAAACAAAGAGAAGAAACTGCTATGGTAATTGATAATTTTTTTCTATCCTTCAGTAGTCGTTATCTTTTAGGATGTTGAAAGTGCCGTAGATGATAGAGACGAAGAGAGACGAGGAGAAGGTGAAGAGGACGTCAAGGATGTGATAGAAAAACAACGAGAAGGTAGGGTTATAATACTGTTTTTGGTCTCAAAGCAATTCTTACAGGTGATAGTGATACGGATTTAGATGAGTCATCTTCATCTTCTTCTTCATCTTCATCTTCAAGCTCTTCTGATTCTAGCGATTCGTCGGATGACGATAGTGACTAACTTCTAAATTTCATTCATGAATAATGGTCTCTTATTATGTATTTAAGTTGCTTGTTGATTTTGAAGTCACTTGTTATGCAATCAGCTGAATAAACAATCTTAATCCAAATTTGAATTAACCTGAAATTTGAGTTTACACTACCATAATATTTCTGAACTGACTGATTGCTTCTCTTCTGGTTCTTATCACGTATTCTAGATTGTCAAAAATGGCTGTAAGTACTTGCTTTGCCGTATTGTAAACAGCGTTGTAATCAACAATGGTACCAAGATTCCGTCACGCGCCAGTAAGCTTTTATAGACGAAGATGATAGCTTCGTAACTTTTTAAAATTACAAATATTTTTGTTCTCTGTTTTATTACCTGTCACCTCTCATAAAATGAGAATGATAATATGGATTTCAAGGGATTAGCCCCTGACGCGTGGCGGCTACTTGAATTAAAGTGAAATCTGATATTTTTCATGAGTCAAACTCAGGATGAGTTTTGAGTATCTGTCCGATCTTTTAAAGTTTAAATATGTGAGTCTTTTTAACATTTCAAACTTTTTGGTGAATAGATAACTATCATGTTCGCAACGACTGCTATGAATTAGAATTTGGATAAAATCTAATCCAGATCTCTGGTAGTTTCTCCTCGCTCCCCCTTCTAAGTCTCTCACTTTCTTCTGTAATCCTTCGGATAAATTGTTCTTCGAATATTCTTAGACCTAGAAAATAAGGTTCTACGTTCGAGTCTTTTCGTTTTTCTTTCATTAGCTTCCATTTATTAAAATGGCTCTTGAGAGCGAATACCTAGGGTCTATACCGACATATGCTAACTTAGTTATCGATTATTTCAATTCGGTGAGAGTTTTATTAATAAATATTAATATAACAGTTTTTTTTTACTTCAATAAACTTATCGTCATCTATTTAGGCCAGAGAATTGTCTCCGGATGAATTGCCTTGGCCATTGAAGTTCATTCTCATTATACTCGGCTACTCCACTGTTGTAGTACCTGTGGCTGTTCTCATATATTATTACAAGAAAAGAGTCATAGGTTTTGTTTTCATAAAACTGAACAGCATTCCTCCTTTCCAGAAACTAATTCTGTTCCACGTTCTTATTGGTCGAGAATTGTTCATCTTTTCGCAATTGGTGACCCTCAAAGCCGAGGCTTCGAAGTTCTCAATGTAAATAACATGTATTCTTTCAAGCAGACACATTACATGCCTTCAGGTTCCCACAAGTCCACCGAAGGATGATGAAGAAACGAACAACAAATTTTTCAAAGATGTTGTACTTCTTTTGTTTTACTTCGCTGGCATTCAGGTATCTTTTAAATATGTTTATCACTTCTTTTTCATTTTCAAGACTACACTCGTGCTCATGGGATTCCTCCAAGAGAGGATCATAACACAGGGCTATGCAAGATTCGATGATGGAACAATGGTAGAGGGATATTCGTATAATAAATGGTATAAAAGCGAATTTAGATTGAAAAATTCGGGGATGCTCAGTTTCTCGTATTCTGCAATCGAATTATAGCTTTGTTCATTTGCTTTATAGTCCTTTATATCAGCTGGAGTAGGTAATGTTTTGTGCCGTATTGCAGCTCTAATATAGTAAAATTGAAGACAACCACCTCACGTACCTCCACTCTATGTGCATTCCTATACTTCTTTCTCCAATACGATGTCTTCGTGGTGTCAATACGAAGCATTGAAATATGTGTCATTCCCAACCCAAGTTAGATTAAACAAATAATAAAAAATAATAATTATGATTTCAGACCATTTGCAAAGCTTCAAAAGTTGTCGCAACTATGTTCATGGGTCGTGTTGTACGAGGACAAAGGTAACGCTTTTGTTATTCTGATACCACCCTTCCATATGTGCAACCATTCTTCAAGCTGTTACAATTGAAAACAACTTGGCATCCATCTTTTTTTTATGAAAATGCTTTCTTCTTCTAATAATTTATCTTAGATACACATGGGCTGAATATGGACTTGGTGGTGTAATTGCTATCGGTGCCAGTCTTTTTCTACTGAGCACAGGAGGAGGATCAGTTGAAGAAACAACAACAACAACATCTGTTAGTTTGCTATGTTCTCAAAGTCGTGACATAATTTGTTTAAGATTTCCGGATTAATTCTTATGGCTGGTTACCTGGTCTTCGATGCCTTCACGTTGAATTGGCAAAAGTCATTATTTGATTTAAAACCAAAAGTATCCAAATACCAAGTAAGACTGAAGAATAGTTTGAATTCTAAGGAATAATGTTTTAGATGATGTTAGGTGTCAATGTCTTTTCCGCCATACTCTGTTTTGTGTCCCTTCTTGAACAGGGAACCTTGTTCACTTCCACAAAGTTTTTAAATGATCATGCTAATATATCCTCAGACATTTTCTTTTTGAGTCTGTCAGGAGCAACCGGACAGGTTAGTCAGATGAACAGTCGGTGACTTATCCCCTCTATTTAAGCTCTTTATTTATTCGACAATTGAAAAGTTCGGGCCAATAGTTTTTGCCGTTATCATGACTATTAGACAAGTAATGAATAACTCAAACTTTAGAGCAAACAAATTGTTTTCAGATGCTATCAATTTTGTTATCTTCTATCTATTATAGTCATCCAATGACTATATGGGCCTCCGCTGGATTCATGATTGTGTTTGGAGCTCTATTTATAGACATTTATCGTCGATATTTCGAAAAGAAAACTAAAACGCACGGCCAGAAGACCCAAGCCTAACTTATTGTTTTGATTGTTTACTAGAAGAAAGCCTAACTAGAAGAAGATTATGATAGAGTGGTTTTTGCATTTTGCTGTGATATCACATACGTTATCGAACTACATGTAATCATGGACTGTTATACGGGAAATGTATGAAATGCTGCAAATATTTTAAATAAATGTTCTTTTCATCCTTATGATTAACTAAACAGAGGATTTACCTGAGGGAAAGTCTTGTCGAAGCCTCGAGCTGTAGGCAAACAAAGCACACAATCTTTCGATAGTAAGTACGTACAGCTTCACTAAGGAACACGTCAATACTGAAGCATGAGTAGTAATCCTTAGATGGAGTCATGAATGTTATTATCACATTGCCTATTATGTCGATAGTGGCTGTTTTGTTGTGGAAAATCAATACATGCATCATCACTTTGCTTTTCCAGCATACCATCTCAAGTTGTGACTATTCCGAACGAATATTTCTTAGCATCTCAGAGATGATTCATCTTCCTTTAAGAACTGTTTTCGTTTACCTAAATGACCTTATACGTTTTTTTTAAGTGAGCAGCTCAATTATATAACATGATTGGTCATCATTATGTCTATGACCGATTCTAATTTCGATTCGCTTTTAAGTGAACGTCCTGAACGATTCCACCAGCCGCAGTTGTTCTTTTTATCCACTTTTTATCTTTGTCGTTTGTCAACCTCCTACACTTGTATTATCTTTGATTGTGTCTTCTACAGATGATTTCTTCTTCTCTCAAGTTCAACCTGATGCCTCGGCAGGCCTCTCAATCTCTATGCGTTTCACGTGTGTCTATCTTTCGTGATATTTACAGGACAGCCGGGAACTAGTTGCTCGATTCTTCTTCTTCCATCGTCTTCTTCATTTTCTCCATCTCTTCTCCCATTTTCTTCTCCATTGTTGCTAGTATTGCGTGGTAGCCTATCAAAGACATTTTCATCTAAGTTTTCATTACTGCGTCATGATCGTCGATCGTAATCAGCTGTTAGCTCGCCTTATCGTGACCCTCTGGGCACTTTGCCAGTTGACCGAAGCCGTAAGTCAATTTGTTTCAAGTATTTTCCTTAATTAGAAGAAGTCTGAATGTTTTTTGAGATGGAACTGCGATTTTATGCTCGTGCGTATAGTCTGAAGATGCATATCTTAACGGGTTCCGTTCTTTAAAGAATTTTTCTCAAAATTGCGATCAGAGACTTTCACCAAAGAACCTCTGTCAAAAATGGACCGAAGTGTTTTTTATATTGTTTATGTCTGATCTTTAGGTAGTTCAATGTCCAGCGAACAGTTTCGGACACAGACTAGAATGTGCTTTTGAATGTTGCCAATCATTTGAAGGGGATGACCAGGTGAACAACTTGAGCTTCGTTTTTTTCTGAAAGTTTTTTGCTTCAAACAGTGACTGTAATCTTTAGTGGCATTACTAAAGCTACTAAACAAATAGAGGTGCCAAAAATGTTTCTTTGAACAGTCCCATTCAAAGTAGCACAGTGAGATTAAATATTTAAATTAGATGACTGTTGAACATATTTTCTTTGCTAAACTTGTATGTCTTAGGGGCACTACTGTTGCGGACACGAGGAGAAGAACTTGCAAGAGCGAGGAGCTGAAAGAAGATCAGAACGCTTTGTAGCCTATGGAAACACATTCCAGTACGTTACCTCTTTTCAAGAAGAAAAAAGTCTTTAAAGAACTGAATTGCTTCAAGTTACACGGAAGATATCTTAAGCTTATTGAATAGTTTCGATTATTTCTTCTCCACTTCCGAGCACTTTTGTGTACTTTTCGATTCTTGACAAACTCGCCGACGATCAGTGAGGAGAGAAAGAAAAGATTGTGGATTTAATAATCGCAAAAGAAAGAAATAGATCAACTATTGAAAACATTATAGAGTTGACTATACGTTACTGGTCATCGGATTGATTGTTTCCATCATTTTGTCAATTCTTTGTTCATTCTTCTGCTGCTTGTTATGTAACGGCTGCTGGCTTCACAGGTAACCTTTGAAAACGAACTATTTCCTTAAAACAAGAAAGGAATGTTCTCTATACAACTAATCGATATCGTTCAGAAGAAGAAATCCTCAGATGTATGAGAGCGTGAACGAGCGAGGATGGTATCCAATCTGCTGTAAGTTCTGTTTTCATACTACTTCTCTACTATCTAACTGATTCACATCATCATTTATCTTTGATTCCCCTGTTTTTCTCTTTAACGATTTCACTTTCCTCCATGTTCCCAATCCATTTCTCGACCACACCCAAATATGCTGAAAGAAATGGGTTAACAGTTTGAACAAAAAGGAGAAATCGGCCATTTCAAAGATTACAAAAACAGAGCGAAAGTGAACGATGTAAGTAGTATGTGAAAGGCTAAAAATTAAAAATTCATTCATTCGATTTTTCTGTGAGTTTTTGTCCTCCTTCCTGCCGTATCTTAGGTACATCTATCTACGTCAGAGACCTCTCATAAAGATCAAACTGCTTTTCCTAAATTGGAATAAAAAGCAAGGAAAACTGATTTTTGTACTTTCAGGTGGATTCGGAATTCCACTTGGGACGGTAGTCTTCTCCACTCATCCTCCACATTATCGGGAAGACAGTGAGATGTATCATGGATCATCCACTTCCAGTTTACCCTCTTCGAAGCAAAGGTCAGTTAGAATGAAGGGGGAAAAGAAGGCTTTGAGGGAGATGCTTGAAAAAAAAACCAAAAATTGAACTAACTAACGTATACAAGTATTTGATGCTCAACAATCTTGTAAATATCAGAGAAACGCATACAAATCTTTTTTGATTCTAGAGTTCGATTCAATCCAGATGGCACTCCACGAGGTGTATTGAAGAATGGTCATGATGCGCCTCAATACAGAGATTAAATTCTAGCCAAACAAACATTTCAAAACAATTTCATTGAGAATTTCTTCAATCAGAATCTTAGAAAGCTTTTGTATATATTTATAAGAATTTTCTTTTTATTGTTTGGTTTACAACATTGTTCTTGTGAAATATCTCTGAAGAAGATCAAGTGAGTCAATAGGATTTCAGGAAAATCATACTAAATACTCTTTTTAAAGCATAATGTTTAACAAACAATAATTACAAATTTATATCGTTCACATTATAATTCTTTCATCATTATTTCAATTAAATGTTGTAAAAACAGATTCTTCGCAGCTTTTACTTTGCTTACTTCCATCCTCATTCTCTCTCTCCCTCTCTCTCTCGGTCTCTCCTTCTCCCTTCTTCAGTCAGTCAGTCAGTCAGCTCATTCATCTTACTAAACACTGTTCGTTTTTCTCATTACTCTTAGAGACTCCGCAAAAGGCAACCAAACACTCCCAACAAAAAAAGGATTTCAAATATATTTCATTTTGTGACAGAAGCTGCTCCTCTTCTCATTCGTCCATGATTTCCCCTCTCTCTCTCTCTCTCTCTCTTAATTTTCAGCTTAATTTCTGATTTTATTGGAGGATAAATTAACCAGACGTTCATGTCATCAGCAGTACGTCATCATGAGATTTTCCAAGACAATGATCTTATTTTTGCTTTTTTTTTGTCTTTCTTTCACTGCGTTCAAGATTTTCCTTACTTTAAGCATATTGTTTATTATAATGATTTTCGGAACTAGTTTCTAATCTTTAACATCAAATTATCGAACTAAAGTTCAATAAGTCGTTGATGGAAAGAAGATCTCCCTTTGCTTTAATAGCTGTCTACGTAGTCTGACAGATTCGTTTCAATATGGAAAAGACTCATCAGACGAGCATTCCCCAAATCCGTAATCTCTCAATTTCTCCAACTATTTATTTTTCTTCTTGCTATTGCTCTTCCTTGCCTTATGGCTTTTCGGAAATACATTGCAGGCATTGGTCCGAAAAGAGATGAGCTAGAGAAGCCAACAAAAAAGAGATAAAAGTCAGGTTGAAAGGCTTAATAGTGTTTTTTGGCCAAATTAGCCTTTCCGACCAAAATCAAAGCATCAAATGTGGTGAATTGTCGTCATACAGCATCTGATCTCTTATTGCTTAAATTGACTTCAGTTTTGTAAACTAAAGAGGCAGCTGTTCATAGTATTTCAATGCTCTGTACAAATGTTTTCACATCATCATCATCTTTGAGCCACACTTGGTATGGCATTGGATTTCTTCCTGCTTTCCTTTATATTTTTTTTCTCCTTTGCTAATTTAATGAAAGACTATCGCGCTCTGTTTTCATAAAACATAGCAGACTCGACTCAAATCGTAAGAACTTTTGTTTATTCTTAAGAATTCTGTACTTATGCTTAATGGTTCCTATACATGGAATGGCTTCATCAAAATATTATTTTTATAACGATGTAGTAGGCGTCAAGCAATAATGCTTTCAATACAATCATGTTCTCACCTTACATTCCGTTTTTGTTCAATGACTTCAGGTTTTTATGACATAAACTTCATCGACACATCTAGTTGAGCTTTATGTTCATATGAGAGCTCTAACTCAGAACCATTCTGAATGTCTTCTTTTGCTTGGTAATTGCTCTCTATTATTTGTCCTCACCAAAACTCCGCCTCTCTCAAAACGGCTTACTGGCCTGAGCACGCTGTCGTTGTGCTCGTTCTCAACATCATTCTCCACAGCTTCTGAATCTTTTTTCCTCTTTCTCATCTGCTTTCTATATTTTTTTCCTTAAAAAATCAAAAAAAAGCTATATAAACCAATTGATATGTTGGCACTTTGCTCGTTCACATGTTCTTGCGCACATTTCACGTATCCGACACTGAAGCTGGACGGATGAGCAGAGACTTTTGCAGATGGTCAACTCTGCAGATTGACAACCGCTTGTCATCAAGTTCAAAACCATTTTCTGAATATTTCTCTTTTCATTTTAGTTTTTAGGTTGGACTCTTTTTGTTAAGAATTCCTGCAAATTTAAATCTTTATGGTTTTACTAGCAAAGACTATTGTTTATGCTTCTATTGTTAGGCAATTCGTCTTGCTCCCATTATTAAGAAACAAACTTTCTACGCTTAAAGGCGAAGACAGCTTAATACCCCTTTCAATAGTTTTCTCACAAAAAAAGGAGGAAGAAGAGAATTTATTGAAAAAAAACGACTTCAAATCCATAGTTTCGAAGTAATTAGCCAATTTCAAATGATGCAATCATAATACGATCGATAGTGCTTAAATGCATTTAGCCATCATTTAATAATTCAAAAGGCTTTTTTTTCATAGCCAGAAAGGAGATGCTAATTTCACGTGTTCACGTCATGTCGCGCAATTGAAGCTTAAATTTCATTTCTGGATTGAGTGAACGAGCAGAGCGGTTGGTTATCAAATTCTCATTGCATTAACGCGTTGCAAATAGTCATCATGTCCAAAATATGTTTTTTTTTATGTTTTCTGTCGCAAAATTTAACTTCTCTGATGTTTTCATCAGCAAATGTAGCAAATGAAGAATTGAGATGCAGCCTGTAGGTGTTTAAGATGTGTAATAGCTAATTAGTGAGCAGTTACATGAATTTATATATATATGCATTAATGTGTATCTTCACACCCATCTGCATGTGATAGCTGAAGCAGAGAGGTAGTCGTCAGCTGTATGTTGAGATTCAAATAAAAATGTAAATGAATTGATAGATTTATTAGTCAATTGAGTAATCTCAACATGATATAATTCAAATGAAATTGTTTTCAATTTTATTAATGTGTTTCATCTTCTTTATCTTTCAACAGTTGCTATCTTTAACATGAAAAATCAAAATCAGATTTGTGTTCTAATCCATTTTATTCTGACAACATCTCTTGTTCATCCTTCTACAAGCCACCTGTTAGACGATGTATGTTCATTTGTGAACTAAATTATATTCTTTCCAATTTTTTTCTTCTCTTTTTTCTATTCATTTCTACCTCTGCTTCCTTTCATCCATTTTTCTCTCTGATTACGAACCATCTTGGGATGATGAAAGGAAGCAAAAGCTCACAATAGCTTAAGTTTCTGCCGCTCCATCTCATTTCAGCTTTATACCATCATCCACAAACAAAAACTATTGGTTGTTGTTGTTTTAGTTGACAGTTCTGTCGTTTTCGTTTTCTCTTCAATTTCTTTCATTACTTCTCAATAATTTTAAACAAAACTTCATCACTCCTTCATCATCGTCTTGTCGACATACACATAGGACTCACACACCGACCCACACACATCCACCGCCGCTCACATATTTTCATTTCGATGGCTCTTGTCCATTAACAACAAATTACTTGGCTTTAAAAAGATTTTTCTTTTTTCTTTTAGAATTCAAAATTTTCTTGAGTTTTCACACCCTCAGCCAGCCTCCCCTCCTTCACTTCCTCCTTTTGAAAGTATTTGCCGATTCTCTCCCCCCCCCCCCCCCCCGGCACAGTTAAGTTTTGATTTATTTCTTTTCCTCATCCCATTTTTCATTATATTAATTCATTCGGTGCTTTTCATTATTTTATTTCTGTTCACAGCCATTCTTGCTTCTGTGTTCATTTCGTTTACCTTATTATACACATTGATTTTAGAGAACGATTTAAATCTTTTCTCACATACATCAACGCACTTCCGAAAAAAGAGCATTAGAACCTGGTAGTTCTCATTTCAAAAGAAAAGAAGAAGTCAGAGAGAGAAGCAAAGAAATGGACAGCCAGAGAGGTAGAGTGAGAGAGCCATTTGGAAAAACTTTTGAAAGATTAGAAAGTCAAAAGAAAAACTTTTACTTCTGGACTTGAGCCAACATCAACGAATGCTTTTCAATCATTATCAATACTAATCAAGCTTCTGCATCAACTTTTCACGATTCGTCTTGTCTCTGTACAATCAAGAGGTTCAGCTGATCGTCCTCGTATTCTTTCTAAATAACAAAGAGACAGAGTTTTGAGTCAAAAATGAAAAAAATAGTTTTTGAGGATAAGCAATTTTTGAAGCCGAAATATCAACTGCCAATGTGGTACTTCGTCATCTTTCATAATTTATCTTCAAACTATTTATCTTCTCAGCCATTTGCTTTCATTTTCTCTTTCTTTCTTAACTCTCACTAGCTGAAGCTTTTCAAGTACTTTTCTTGTGAAGTCGTAGACGTAGCCATCTAGGCTTAACCTTCTCTTTAGCTCAACAATGTCGTCATGGCCATCTGTAGTTCCCCGGTGGATTAGCTTTTCTTTTATTTTCACTTACAAAATGTGCGAAAATATGACGTTGACCCCGAGAGATTTGGTCGTTTTTCCGTTGCAAATGTTGAATATCAAATCAAATTCCTAATAAGGCAAGCGAAGAATAATTGATAAATGTTCCGTCAGATGTATAAACGTCAACCCCCCCCCCCTTGCTCATCTCAGCTATCGCTTGTGGTATAGAAAAACAAAGGCAAATTCATTTGTATTCCCTATAGTTTCATTCATTTTCCTTTTTGCTATTGCTTTAAGGCGAGAATGGTTGCCATATTTTGCAGCAGAGAAAGTTACAAGAAGATTCCCTTATGAAGTTACGTGTTAATGGCCAAATGCCATTAGAAGAAGCCTAAGTAGTTCAATGAAGTGCTCAAGTATTTTGTTTCCTTGTTGTCTTCTTGAAATAAACTAAAAAAGCAAAATGAGCTAAGTGCGAATCGTAATGAACATTACTTCAGGGTGTCAAATTCACAAAGATACAATCCCAGGGGATCACTAAAACTCAAAAGGATTCAGGGTCAGCGCTACAAATGGAATGAATAGAATTTGCATCTCGTATCTCTCCCCTCTTCCTCTCTGTGTTCATCTATCTTTATCTTCACTCAGTCCTTTTTCTTCCAACTATCACAGTAATACAGTTGATATGGAGAATGTGCTTGTAGACGGTTTAAGCATCTCTCATCCTCCTCTTATCCATTTAATTCTCAGAAATTTGTGTGAAAAGCTTATAATCTTGTTGATGAAGGTTAGATGTAGCCATGTTAAGCCAAATAATGGCAATAGTGATTGGATTTTAATGGTTTGTGTACCAAAACTTCTGGGGCAAAACTTTTATCTGCCGAGGCTAAATGAAGAGAATTTCGTCAGAAGAATCTCAGTCTAATCTAATCGAAAGGACCCCAAATTCGTTAAGACGATTCCTGTTCCTCCTCCTTGCAAAGTATCACTGGCTAGTCATTTCGTCATCCGCGTTGGTCAATGTCAACCAACAATCTGGCTTCATCTTCATTTTCTAGCAGAATCAATGACATTTCATTTAAGTAACTGAAAACAAAAGCTTTTTTTTTTGAAGAAGAAAAAACGTCTGCTACACTTTCTTACTCTTTCATCTCTCAGCTGCCCGTTTACGTAGCTGCGTAATAGCTTCGCTGTAGGGCATTTTTTTCTTTTCATATCTCATGTTGTAACTGATTGAAAAACATTTTTTTTCTCGCTTTGCATTCGCCTTGGCAACTTTCATGATAAGTGGAGAAGTTCAGAAGAACAGCGAGATTGTGAGCCGTACAAGTGAATTAAGTACTATGAGAGTTTCGACGAGCGTCCGACGACTCCTCCCCGGAAAGGAAAAGTTCCTTGCGAACTACGTTTTTCTTTTATCTACGGCAGTTTCACTGATTTTTTTGATCATTTTTTTTTTTGAAATTTATGTACATTATAATTGCGTTGTACTTCTCTTCTTTGACGAGCATGATGATAACTGCTTCATCTCCATGTTTGGATATTCTAAACTTCGTGAAGATATAACGAGATAGAGAGATGAAGAGAGAGTGAGATTCAGCTTCCGCCGAAAATGATTTAACATTTTATGGTTCAAAAGAAAGAAATTTTAGTTTGTGAACGACAAAAAAACGCTATCAATGGAATTATCCCAGCAGTTAAGGCCAGTGTTGCCCCCAAATAAGTCGATCTTCTCATGCACAAAAGCTCAGCACGACGACAACGACGATGGAGGGGTAGGAGGAAGGGTTGGAGGGGGGTGAGAGGAGTAGTAGATAGAACGGAGGAGAGGGAGGAGAAGAAGCAGCAGCAGCAATAGCATACGAACGAAAACATTTTTTTTGTCTTCATTCCAATCTGTGTGTCCAAAAAGATGAGAGAGAGAAAAAAAAAATTAAATAACTTTTCATTTTTTCATCTTCATTTCATTTTTTATTCATTCAAAGACTATTTATGTAGTTTTTCTTCTTTTCACAGATTTATCCATCTCTTCATGTGTCTGCCATTTATTGTCTCTTTAGCAATTGAATTTAGACGACATCCGACAGCGAAAAGAGATGAAACATGTCTCATTTCAACTGCTATTCTATTCTTTTCCTAGTTTTCTATCAATGCTTACATCATTTTCTTGTATTTTCCCATATTTACTTCTGTTTTCTTAATATCGTCTCTCTCTCACCTCATCTCGTTCAGCTCTTCTACACACGTTCATCTCCCTCTTCGTTCATTCCATATGCTTTTCAACTTGATGTATCTTTGATCAAAAATTTCTTTTTGTCATTCTTAAGGTTTGAGCGATGTTAATCTTGTATGAAACTGAAAAAAAAATTATTTTTGTTTTATCTTAAGCATAAGCTTATACTTGAGCAACTTGCAGCTTCAGGCATACACGTTACAACATCTTCTCTTCCTTTAATTTATTATTTCTCATTATTCATCTGATAGAACATGAAAAAGAAAATGTTCCTTTCACTGTGAACCAAATGAAATTTGCTTCTTCACTACTCAATGACCACTACAGATTCATTCCCAGTTGCCACTTACTTGTATAATTCATCATTCTTTGCGTTCTTTCATTTATAACTCTACAAAATACTTTCTCACTTAACTTTATACAACAGAAATAATTTTTTTTACTATTTCAGCCTAATGAACAGTCGATGTGGCTAGTATGGCTGTGCATTGCGATGGGGCCAGCTCTCGCTTATATTGAAGAGCCATATCACAACCCATATAGACGTGAGTTTCCTGTTCTGAACAAAAACAAAGAAAAAAAACACTTGGGAAACTGAAAAAAAAATAAAACACAACCAGTAAGCATCTAGTTTGAAATGAATATGAAGTTTGTTGAGATTCACTTGTACTCACGTCGAATGCCACGCGATCACACACGCCATCCTTCATGCGTGAAACATCACATACGTGAAAGGATCGAGAGTGACTACCCTATAGATCTTCCTACAGTATTGAAATCCACAATCGATGTGTGTGTGTGTGTATGAAAGAGAATTAGTAACTATAAACCAAAATAATGAAAGTTGTTGACGAACTAGGCCTGCCTCCCTCGCATTACAAAGATGATAATGAAGAAATGCGTGTAAAGTAAAATCAAAATGGCTTGATGATGAAGATGATGTTGTGTTAAAGCTTACTTATGGCCATGTATGTCTTTTTGCTACTCAATCGAGGAGCTGAAGAAGAGCTCTTCTACACTTCTTTTGTCTTAAAGTCTCTTCAATATTTCAACCATTTGTTCTTCTACTTTCATAACTTTCATAATGTTTCTCTCTGAATCTTCATTTTATAATTTTTCCTTCAATGTTCCATCAAAAAATCTTTTCATTCTCATCTTTGCCCATAGTCGTAACGACGAAATAAAACAGATTTTTCTTTTTTCCTCTCCTTAGCCCTGTCAACGAACGAATGTTTAGAAACCGTCTCAGGTTCTAATGTGTTTCCATGGCCTTATTAGGCAATTGTGAATATAATTTTCATTCACAATTATATTTTTCTTTGAAAGCTCATTGGGAGAAGATGTTTTCATCGTTTATGACTCTCTTAAAAACTATTTCGTCTTAAAATCCAAAAACGGCCTGCGCTCCTTAGCTACCAGCACAGATTCATCTTTAAGCTTGCTCATTACAACTTTTTTTTCCTGTCATCTTCTTTTTACATTGTTACTCTCTTTTTTTTTCTGTTGGTCAAGTGGTTTTTCCACATTTGCAGAAGATAGAGTAAGCGAGAAAAGCTTTCTCTCTAATGCAGCAGACGTTTTTTAATTCCAATTTTTGCTTTAATGATCGTCGCTTAGCTTTTAGGATGAAAATGAGAAAATCAGAAAAAAAAAGAACCAAAGCAAAATGAAGCCCTTCTATGATACATCATCATCATCGTTTTTGCTCTATTCTGTGAAAAGGTTCTGCAGCCTCCTCCCCCACAGTCAATGATCAACTGTGTCAGAATAAATTATCAATTGAACTGAAAGACAATTGTTCTGTTTGAGCTGATTTTTCAGTGCGATAAGAAGTTTTGTAAAGTGTTCCGATCATTCAATGAACTCATTCTATCCTTCTTCCTTCAACAGTTGAATCACTCATTTGCGCTTTTTGCATTTTTGTTTCACTTCACTATTCTTCCAATAAGAACAAGTCGGAAAAGACAACGTTGTCAAGTTATGAGTTTAAGCCTGCTGAGCAAGATCTCTCTTCTCCCAACCTCATCTCAGCGTTATCCAGCTGTCGACTGTTGTGGCTTTTCAATCATTCGGTTTAGATAGATTTCTTCCATTTTGTTTTACACATTCAACTAAAGTTTGCTGATCTCTCATGAATTCCGACAGGTGATTAGAGTCTCAGCTTCATCATCATTTTCACACCTCCTGATTATCATTCACTCTTTGTATATATTTCTATCCCTCTCTACTGATATTCCTCTAGGCCATCGCATACTCCTCTTCTTTCCCTTATCCTCTCGCTCTTCTTCTTGTCTCTCTCTCTCCCTCTCTCTCCCTCTCTCTCTGTATGATATGATTTTCTTCAGGAATTGAACAATTATCTTCAAAACCTTTCATTGTCTTGAACAACTATTTTCTATTTTTTTTCTGTTCCATCCATTATTGGCTAATCTCATTGAACTCACTTTATTTATTGTTTGGGCCGTTAAATCTTCTTTATTCCTTCACGCAGCGCTTTATGCTCTGATCCTAGCCTTTAGGCAACATGAGGTGAAATCTTCGTGGGTAAAAATTTAATACATTACCATATAAGAGTATTGCTAAAAGCAAATTCAACATTTCCATCATCCGTCAACCGTTCTTCGTCCATTTGTCGGCAAAAGCAAAACTGGCGTTGAAACATTGTTTTGTCAGTTCCTTCATCATTCTCATTCGTTAAGCTTTTGCCTTGTACCGATGTTGTTGAGAGTGTTGCACTTCTGACCAGACAGGGTTAAGACTCTCTATCTTCAGGCAAATTGCGTCCATCGGGAATCACATTTTCCATATTTGGCTATAGAATACAAAATATTCAGCCGCATATCTTTCATATCCGCATTGTCTTTAATTGTTTTCTGATTCTTTTTCCGTTTTTTTTATATAGAAAAAGCTTTTATGAAAGAGACGATTATTAAAAATACACGAAAAATATGAAATTAAGACGATTTCGAGCAATCAGAAGATGTCCACATATGAACACATGCACACACACATACACATACACGCGCATACACATACACTCAAGAGAAGCTTCTTCTTCTTCGTCGCCTTCTTCTTCTTCTCCTTCTTCTCCTTTTTCTTCTTCCTCCTTTTTTTTTCTTCTCACACATCATCCGATGGATATGTCTCTTCCGCATAAACTTATTCTCTCTCCATCTCTGTTGCCTTTTTGCATTACTTTGTTTCTTCTGTAAATTCAATCAGCTCTGTTTCAAAAATTGGCCTCCCACGTCTTACTTTTGCCCATATTTGTCGAATTTGGCAATCGTTTCTTTTCTTTTTTTTTCAATATTTTCCTTTTACACTTTATACTCTTATCTATTTGTGTTTAATTCTCTCTATGAATGTGAGAGGAAGATGAGATAGATTGATGATGTTTGTAACTAATTAAGTAACTTGCTTGACGTGTCCAGTGTCGTACATGGACTAATAGAGACATGTGTGGTCATGACTACAACCCTCATCGTGCTTTTCCTTCTAGGACCTGTATTAGCGTCTGTTAATAGACCATATACAATATATGATGGTACTATAACTAAAAGTGGTAAAATATTCAAATAATATTCATTTATATTTTCAAAATATATAAACTACAATATGTGAAATGAACGTCTTTCCAGATACTGCTCGTTGTTTTTCTTGTATGTCTAAGCTATATGAAGCTGTATGGCCAGCATTATCTCATATTTATAAAAAACCTAAAAATTTTACAGGTGAGGTGACAAGTGTTAATGAGATAGCATATTCTTGTTATAGATGATTGTGATGATGAACATTTGATGGAAGGTCGAGTAGCTGTTGTTCATTGCTCAACAATTTGTGTTTCAATGTATGAACAACCTAATATTGCCGGTATGTGCTTATACATATAAGAAATTATTACAAAAATTTGCATAAAATACAATTTGTGATGTTGTGTGTTACAGGTGTACGGATCCGCGGTCACATACGTGGTTGTATGAGCGAAGTTCTTCTGAATGGTTTCAATACGACAATAGTTAATTGGTATCGTTGGATGCATAGAGATTCCTGTCGTCCGTATAGGTTTGTCCATTTCTTCTTCTTTCTCTTCTTCCTCCTCTTCATCCTCTTATATTTGAAAATAACAAAAATAAATAATGAAAGTGATTTCATTGCAACCGTTTTGCTGACATTTTCAAAAGGAAAATGGCTTTTGCTCATCTCATTCACGTGACGACTGATTGATCCATTAGAATATTCTAATTTTATGATTCTTATTTGTTTTTTATTTCAGGAAAAAAGATTTATTCAAATTAACAGATCAAACAAATGATGATTCAACCATCGACGTTTGTACATGCTATTCCGATTATTGCAATGGCAATTCAGCTTCAGTCTATACATTTCCATTATTACTATTCATATCTTCGGTCATATTTCGAAGTATATGGAGCTAATAGGTGCTTGTTCATCAAACCTAACCTTCACCACAGAATATGATATTAACACAGATTTTATATTTTAATTATATATATATTGTATATGTGTAATAGCTTTAATATGCAAATTTCTATATTAACTATATGCTCCTACGACAGTCTTAGTACAATCAATCTGAACATGAATTTTTGGTGGAAACAGTTTGGTTTTAAAAATCATTTCGTCTTTTTCCATGTAACTACGGGTTTGAACGAGATTTTCTTAGCCAATATGTCTTTTTCTTTCTTTTTTCTTGATTTTTTCTTCTTAACTGATCTTCAAATTCTTCTCTCACTCTCTCTCTCTCTCTTCATCTTCATCTTCTATGTCTCAAAGCTATAAGATGCTCAAATATATAGAAATTACTATAATTAATAATAAAAAGAATTAAAAAATAATAATTATGTATATGTGTTTATTGAATAACAGACAAAGGCACTTTCAATACATGGAGCTGTGATACTTCCGATTGACTTCCGTTGATTCTCCTGAAATCACAGTACAACATCATTAAAATGGCAAAAAAGATGTTTTCAGCTTACGTTTAGTCCTTAAGAGTTTTAATAAATAAAAATGAATAATTAGAGATATTAATGTGACTGTTATTATGAGAGAAATTGAAAATGCTAGAGATAATCGTGAAATACAAATGCTTTCTTTCATGTTTGGTAATGATTGATTATCTAATATTTCGCCTAATCCCCTTGGGGGCATATGCGATTCTTCGTGACCTTAAATGTACATGTTAATTAGCATAATCAATAGAACTTCAATACCTTTATAGGGTATATCCAGTATATCAACTGATGGAGCTGATACATCCAGATTTATAACTTGTCGATTCAAATCTCTTCCATATCTCATTCTGTATGCATCATCAATGGTTACATATTAGAGCATTCACAGATTACCTTGTTCTCCTTGTTAGTGGTTTCTCTCTCACAACATCATTTTCATTATAATCGCCATCCTGTAAAACACATTTTTCAAATGAAAACCAAGTTTTTCTTCTCAATTAATGACCTCCGGATTAAGAGGCAATCCCGAGGGAGGCCTAGGGAAATCACTAGTAATCTCATTCGCATAAGCTTCGTCATTACAATAGTTTTGAGGAATCTGAAAAGCAAAGTATTCTCAGAAATAATGGAGAGCGTAAGCTTGGTTGATGAAGCTTCTACGAACCGGACAATCGCTATTTGGAGTTTCTTTGATAAAGAGTTTTATCATACATGAGAAGTATACAGTTGGTTGATCAGCGAACTTGAATACACTCGAGGACTGTCCGGCAGATAAGTCAGTCATAGAGTAGTTCAAGTTGTGAATAAGGAACTCATCCAAGCTACAACTGAAATCGGAAAACATAAAGCTTAGTTTTTAAATTCAAAGTATACCCTTGTTCGTCGATTAATTGCTGGGCAATTCCTTGTCCATTATCAGCTGTACACGAATGAACCGTCATACAATACATGCTAGCTTGGTTAACATCACAGGACCACCTTCAATGATTGCTTAAAGCGATTAAATGTAATCACCAATTACTTGTGATAGACATCTTCCCCAACTGTTGCGTATTTCACTGCTCTGCCATTAGACCCAGCTGTGAGAACCTGAGAAACTATTTCAGTTAGAGGGGATGAAGCTAAGGCTACCTCATATTTACACGATGGGACATGTTCTTGATCAAGTTGTTCACTGCTCTGAGGTAGTTCAGTAGGGGCGATAGTACTGAAATGTTTGTTTAAAAATTTGTTCTTTGGAACTCCGGGAAGACAAACCTAACATCTAAACTTCTTGTAACCTCTAAATCCGATTCCGTGTAGTGACATTGAACTTTGAAAGAACGATCGTCTTTCGTCAAAAAGATATTATGAAACATCAAGATCACTGTTGTTTCTAATAATATTCCGGGTGGATTAAGCTAAAGACAGTAATGAGAGTGAGTGTAGAAGTTCAATGAAATAGCTAACTGTGCGTTGCCTTCGGATTCCACAGTCACTCAGCGGAATAGTAAGAGAGAGCATGAAAGATGAATTATGGCTAACAGTACGATTTGTCTTACAATTCGCATGATCATAATAACCCTGAAAACAATTTATTGAACAATATATGATGGCACTTAAGCAACCTTAGTATAAACTTGACCGTAGAAAGCTTTGGTCGTCTCAATCATAACATCAATGGTATGGACCCCACAGACTACCGTCGGTAACCCTAATCAGGAAATCGGATTAAAATAAGATTTTATACAATATATTACCAACAACTTCATTTTTCTGATGAAGTGCTTTTGAAAAACATCTGATGAAGGGAATAAATAAGAGATAGAGGACTGTCTGACAAACGAAGGTCTTCATAGCTATATCCTATAACACACTGATAGAGACGGCAAAATGGAGCAAAATTAAAAGTTTCAAACAAGGCAGTGCATGGAAGACCAGTTGAAAACTGAACTTCGAGATTTTTGTCACGAATTTTTATTTGTTAGTAGAACAAATATCAAGGCTGCCTAACTGCCGGCCGAGAAGGAACTTGGCCTATCCGTTAGCCATGTGTGGTCATTTTCTTCTCCTCAATCTACTGGATTTTCATGTCGTTAGAGAGAAGAGAGGAAGATGAGGGTCAGTGAGATCAACCAGATGGATGAGTGTTGGACGGATCAGACAATTCACGCAGTCACTGACTACGGTAATTAGCTGGTTCTATTTGTAAAAAAAGTTACTTCAGAATCACAAATTTTAAGTCGAAAGGTACTTGAAAATCCAGCTAAAATATGAATAATTTTAAATTTTAAGCATCATCCAGTCATGTTCGATAGTTGTTGAAGTCTTGCAACATTATGAAACAGAGTTATAGAGATGGATTTCAAATAAAAAATAGAAAAGTCAATGATCAATATGAGGTTTATTGCATTCTAAACAGTTTATTGGTGACTCCAAGTCAGTGAGAACGGCTGGTTTATGAAATCTTTCAAGCTAATTAAGTTTTCCGTCTCAATTCTCAGGATATTCAAGAATGGAGAATACGATGACTTCTGCGTATTGATATGCACCTGAAACTTCTACGTTCGAAAGCTTTTCTAGAATGTTCACTCACAATCTTTCCGTTCAATTGGAAACTTCCATATACAGGGAAATGCGAATAACCGAATATCTCCATGACGTTGATAGAGGGAACATCAATATTCAACTGAAATTATACGATACTCCTCAGACATCAACGTAAACCAAACTGTATTGGAATCCGAGGGAACTCCTTGTAAAACTGCCGTCGAAATATTGAAAGTGAACGAGAAGGTCCAATGCAAGCTCAAAGAATTATATATGCTTTTTCATTTCCGTTTTTATAACATACAAGTTCATTTTTCCATTGGAATCCGGCAAGTTGTCCATATCCCAATACAGCTCACCTGTTGGGATTACAAACTGCCTGCTAGAAATTTTCAATCCAAAAGGTTTCTGTCGAGATTCGGTGGTTGTCTTTCCACTTGTTGAACTGGTAACCAGTATATTTCCGCCTGTAATCTCATTTCATATGTATCTTATTCTTCCAACACACCTCTATAGAAGTAAGGGAGAGTAGTGTTTGAAACTTCCATGTCTTGATAGTATTGTGTTTCTACTTGAGTTCCATAATTGGATCCGTAGCCATAGTACCAGGTGTCTAATGGGAAGTACGTACGCACGGTTTTAACATTCTATACAAAATTTAAAATGATTCTTGTGTAAATGTTGCCATCATCACCGCTGCTGTAACTGGAACAACCATAATGCTTGGTCCCCACATGAACTGAAGTTGAGCATCCATAGCTTGAACATCTGTAGGATATTCAAAGAACAACGGACGAATAACTGTTCCACCGAACAGAGCAACTTTGTAATGGAGACTGAGAAGATACACGATGATTACAAATCTATATCATTCTTACCTGTACAAATAAGGTAGATACACATATTTCGCTGATAAAGAAGAAGCAGCTGAAGATGTAAGAGGATCATCAGACAAAAAAGTATTTTTTCCTTCGGTCTTAACGTCATGATTATACCTTAATTGCTTTTTTAACCAGAAGAAGATAATACAGAAAGGAAAACCTCGTCAAGCTGTGAAAAGATCCTAACTGGAACCAACGGCGACACAAATCTTCCGTAAATGCTCCTGATGATCCACATATATCCGAGCCGACAAAAGGAATTCCAAACATATTGAATAGAAGAACATCTAGAGTAACTTTTTCGCTATCCGTCAAAAAACTTAATGAAAACCTGTTATAGAGCTCTGCAGATCATCCCACGTCGACGCTTTTTCATCAAGCCAATGACCACCATAGCGTCCGGAGGATACGAAAGTTGATCTGCAATAACCAATCGTAGAGAAAATGTTTCAAAAAATAATTATGTCCACAACAAAGCGTTTTCCAACCTCGAGAGAAGTGAAGAGCGAGTGTTCAAGACAGAGTTTAAACTATTTCTCGTTTTCATTGTTTGTGAAATCCCGTACAAGTTTCTTGTGTCATAAAAGGTTTTGAACGATCTTGTAGTTGTTCCTTCCATACACAAGCTATTGACAGAAAGCTCATGAGAACCACTGAAAAGCTAAAACCTTTCATCAAACACTACTTTGAATATCAAAAGAACTTGTAGCTTGTAAGGTGGATTGTCATATTGATTACGACGAGGACATTCCAAAACATTTCCTTCATTTAACGGTTCATTTCTGTTCAACACTATTCCATCAAAAAGTATCTGGAAACAAGTTCGTCATAGCTACTTCTCTCTGTTTCTATCCCTTTTCATTTTTCCACAAGTATTTGAGTAGTAGGGAATTGTGAACGCGCTCGTGTCAGCGCACGGATGGCCGAGCGGTCTAAGGCGCCAGACTCAAGAGTTATTCTCTCTTATCGGAAGTATTCGATTGGGTGTTCTGGTCCTCGAATGAGGGCGTGGGTTCAAATCCCACTTCGTGCAGATATTTTTGCAAAATGCAGAAGAAACAAAATAATTTTTTTTTCACCTGTTGATGAAAGCTATTCAATTGATTCTTCCACCAGAGCTCTGTTTTCCCTAGTGGATCTAAAAAGTCCAAGAAAGCAACAGGATCCTTGCTAGATGAACCACCAAGCATAATCTGATGAAAAATGTTTTTTCCTTTCAATGATTTGAATATACTTTAGTTCCTTTAGTATTAGGAAATTTGTCATTGGTTTTCGGTGTCTTAGCAGAACTCTCCCAGGTAATGAATGTGGCATCCTGAAGTGTTTCCTAGTTTTCTTTTGTTTCTAAAAATTTACCTGAGCGATTGCACTTTTCAGTTGAGATGATGCTGCTGGTAACGAAGGGTCAAGTTCCAAGGTTGTTTTGATATTTTTAGATTTTAACGTTTGAACGAAGGACGGTAGATTGTTCCAAGTCTGAAAATAGCTCACAGTACTTGTTAATAGACACAAATAGAAAACAACTCACTTTTGCCAAAGTGAACGGAGTGAAGTCATCTTGATACTCATGGTTGAAATGAACAACATCAAGAGATATGTTTTTGCTTATGAGTTCATCAACTTTGTTATTGAAAGAATCAAGAGTAGTGCCACTTAAACCGTATTGAAATCCAAATGCCCAATATGGAGGTACTTCCGGCAATCCAATGTACGCATGGTACTGTTGAATAACTTCTTCTGGTGTTGGTCCTGGGAAGAAGGCTACTTCTAACTGCCCACTGATGGTTCTATAAGTGATCAAAGGGCCAACAACAATCTCCTATAAGAACTGCGTACTGAGTAACAGCAAGTTATGTACCTGTGGAGCTGAGCTGAAGAACAGTACACCGTGAGCATTACCATCTTTTTCCAAGCAAAGATAGAAAGGGTGGGTTCCAAACATATTTCCTTCAGCGTTTTTCTTATCCGGCTTTCCACTGTTAAGCATAGTATATGTTTTGTAAACGGTGGTATCATGCTGCAAATCGTTTAGATGATATTAGAAGGCAGCGCTACCTTAAGATTTGGCGAAGAGTGTTCTCCTATACCAAAAATATTTGGAGAAGGTAAGTATGTTGCCATTTCAATAAACTGAGGTGAGTAGAAGAATCCACCTGACCAATTTTACATCGTACTCAACAAAAAGATTTTTCTGACCTATTGTTGTATCAAATATGATGTTCCCCGTAGATTGACGTTTAACTTGAAAAGCATAATCAAACGTTCCTACAACGTTCTCTGATATGTATTCCAACGTTTCGGAAGAAGGTTGCCCATTCCGCGGTATGGAAATAGTTGGAATATAGCTACAAAACATTTGATTTCAATCTCCAATAGAGGAAACAACAAATTACGGGTCTTGTCCAGATATGATCACTTGCAATGTACTTCCAGTAAACTTCCATGTTTGATTTAATAATTTCTCTGATTCTTGAAATCCATTCGCTAATCCTGAATACACCTCTTCATTGCTGAACTCGTTAATGGATGTCTTGTTTACCATTGTATTTCAGAAGAATGTTTGGTGCCCCTTGCAAATCAGTCGTGAATGCCGACCGCTTAGGTCTCACACATTCAGGTAAGCTACTCCCTTTCTAAACAGATACTGTTTTTGATTATTTCGAGAAAAATTGCAACCGCTTTTGATTTTTGAGGTGTGCAAAATGAAAATAGAAAGAAGAATATTTTCATAGTCAGTCACACACGTCAAGCACGTGTGACTTATGCAAATTACTCGTATTATTCTAATATCTAACCGGAGTACTGTTCCATGAGCATTTGCGTTCACGACAAGTAAGCTCTCCTGCACCATCTGGAGCGCAATCAACACGAAATTCATCAGCAAATGTTTGTGCAATGAAACAGGTGAAGAACAAATAAAATATTATTTGTGGCATAATTGAACTGTAATATAAAAATAGAATAAAGACAAAGAATAAGCAAAAATTAAATTTTTATTTTTTTTTTAAATTCTCAAAACCAGCTTAGAAGTGTAAAATTGAATGAAATGAATGTATCAAAGTATAATTTCATCTATCAATAAGCTATAAATGATATTTTATTTGTCATTTATTGGATATTCTGATGACAACTGATAATCATCATTTTTCTTAAGATGATAAGAAATGTTTTTTCTCCAGCTGAGAAATCATTGGGGGAGCATGGCCATTAATGACCACAAATATGAACAACCAGCTACTTGTACTACATCGAATGGCTAATTAGCATAAAATCATTTCATATCCATATTGTTGCAGATTCACCATCTATCTTTTTTTCATTTTTGACTCATTCAACATGTGGAGCGGCTGTGCTTTTCAAAAATGTTAAGCAATTAATGGAAAATCAGTGTGTTTTATGAAGATGACAGACAACTTGGGTCTTAAAATATCTTTTTTTTTTCTTTTTTTCTCAAATATCTCTATTGAAGACATCTTTATACCTGTTATATTCCTCTATTCTATATGTTGTTCTTCTAGCTAACCTTTAACATCTCTCTCTCTCGCTCATTTAAGCAATGTCTCTTAAATGCCGTTCAATATGAGGCGTCAGTTGTCATTTAACAACTTCTGTCTTCAATTTCTTTTCAAACTTCCTTAGTTCAGTGCCATTGGATGATTTAAAGATATTAAGATGAATTGTGAGAAACAGAATGCAAAGAGAGCTCTCACTACTCCCCTCTTCTTCTGTCTTCACATAGATTTTAAATTTTTGACTTTACTTGTCTTCAGCACATTTATTTCAATAATTTCTAGATTGTCTACCTTCATCATCATCATTCTCTTATCCGTACTCTCATCATCAGCAATTATAACTTCTTGTTCTTGCTCACTATCTCTCTATCTCTATCTACATACATACCTCTCTTCAAGTATAAATAAGAGTTGAGCAACAACGATGTCTTTATAAGTTTATTTGACCGTTATCTCAAAAAAGCCAAATCAAAAATATTTTGTTTTTTAAAAGTGTTGTTTCCCTTCTCTTACTCTCTCAGTCTCTCCATCTTCATAACCCTTTCTCTCTCTATTCGACTCATTAGAAAACTGGATATTTCCTTCAAGTTCTGACATTCGATCCTCTCATATACTCTGAGTTCACCAAAGAGTTTGAACTTTTCCCCTCAAAACCCTTCATTTCTCAGTTCTCATTTCGATTTTGTAACAAAAGCAAAGTGAAAAATTATTTTTTTCCCAAATTGTTTGTCAGAAGTTTTTTTTATTTCCTTTTTCAGAGAGAGTTATTAGCCGCATCGACAATAGCCCTGATCATCATACGAATATCTAAACGATTACATTACTTTCCGGTTCTCATGTACCGAGATTGTCATGTTATAATCTTTCTTTCTCTATATCTCCATCTACATATACACACTGCTCATATCTATCTATTCCATTTCAGAATGCATGAAAGTATTATAAAACAATTTATATTCTGTTCGGAACATGGTGTTTGCGTACTGTTGAACTCCAAAATCAAATGCTGAAGATTAAGATGATCGCATTATCATTTTTCTGTCATTTTTTGTTATCATTATTATTAATATCTGATATATATTACCGTATGCTTTTCCAACCTCAACAACCCCCCCCCCAACCTCTCCCGACCAACACCATACCTCCTCGATTCATGGCTGCAGCCATAAACAAGAAGAACTGAAATCTTCTGACTTACCTACCACCTCTCAAAATCATTTTTCTACTTTCTGCCCCTTTACACGTATTATCACACAAAAAAATGAAAATCAATCAACATTTTTGATGAGTTTCTTGAGAAAGAAACAAGCCTGGTCCTCCTTGTCCCCATCACCCGCAGTGAAGTTTCAGAGCAAAACAAGCCATCCTCTATGCCATGTGTCTTCTCACGTCACTTGCGTTGTCTGTCGTCCTCCAGAAGCTGTTTTTTTGCATTTTTTTTAATTAGCACATATATATTTTTACTTTCAAATATTTAAAATAGTCACATATCTCTTCTGTTGCTATCTCAATGCTTCAGATGGAGTTACCGCTTCCTAATGCTTCTGCTTCCTCACCTACACAGCCGATATCCCCCAGCTCATTGGAAGAGGTTATTTCAGATTTCAAAACAATAAGTTTTGATACTGAATATCCAACAAGCCAGATGGATAAAGTAATCGGCGATGCAAGAGGTTTTCGTTTTTCATTTTCATTCATTCATACCCAACCGCTCACTACATCATCATTTCTGTAAATGAAATGATATCTACCAATCATGTCTCACATGTTAAGCCATGAAACATTGGAATATGCAAATTAATGATATATACCTTTCATAGAGAGTCCAAATGAAAAAGCATCTGATATGGTCTTGGAAATAACTCCGAGTCAGAAGAGTAGCCAGGTTGGAACAGTTCTAAAGCTTAAACATAAATAGAACTTTATATTATACATATTATTATTAATATATTGTTTGTTTCCATGCATCCCCTCACCTCCCACTCTCTCTGTCTCTCCTAGCCCACCTCATCACTGCGACTACTTTGAAACAGAGGAAGAGTATCAAAATAAAACTTTTCGTCTGTTTGTTTTCAACAAAATGAAGAAGAAAACGAAAAAAAAAGAGAAATTTTTCGTTTATCTATTCTTATGTTGTTTAACTGTTTTCCTCTTCATCCTCAACTACTACTACTATCACTATCATCATAGACACAAATAATCTGAATATTTCTCTTCTTGACAGTTGCTGTCACTAATGATAAGGAAAATATATTTTCATTTACTTTAGTTTTTTTTCTCTTTTTCACAATAAATTCAGGATATCAGTAATGATATTGCATATATGATAGGCAACAACACATTGCTTCATCTATTATTACTTTGAACTTCACACTGCTAACCGTCACCTATCACTTTCTCTCTCTCTTCCTCTATCTCTCTTTCCTTCCTTCTTTTCTAGATGTAGTTGCTGTTAAATATTTTTCTTACCTCATGCACTTACGCTAATCAGGTGCATCCAATTTCCGTGTCAAAACTGTTTTCCATATAAACCCAGTATTTAAATGATGTGATATTACAGGTGACTGCTAAACCTCCGCCATTTGAAATTCCGGAGAAGAAGGTCAAAAATGACTTAACATTAACATTTTTTCCATTTTTCATTAATATATCACTATTTCTCCCACTTTCTTCTTTCCTTTATCTTTTCAGCTTACTATAGACTAGCTTGTTAACAATCTCTGTTATAGGAAATGAACATAGTCGATAGGCTTCGAGCCAAACTGAACATTGGAAATGAGCTTTACCGTGCCACATTGGCCGAGTTATTCTGTACAGGATTTCTATTGGTATGATGATAAACATCATTCTCTATCCAATGATATGCATATTCTAACTCTTTCAGTTTGCTGGAACATCCGTAAATGCTCAATTTGTTCTTTCGAAAAGAAGAAACAATGATTGGATCGGAGTATCCGTCGGATGGGGCCTTGTACTGATGTTTGCTGTTCTTATGGGTCAGCGCATTTCAGGTAAAGAATTTCATTGAGATTTTGCTAACACCATATCTCTTGTACTTATTAAATCCTCATCTAATCCAATCCTAAAGCTGTTATTGTTTTTGATCGCCCAACACTAACCCCGTAATCGAATGTTTGTTTTTGAATACCGTATAGGACTAGTTTCACGAGATGTTCAATTGTATAACCAGAAAATCTGATGCAAAAGAGTTTGGGAGAAAGAGCTCTGATGAACAGATCTCTTTTTCCAATATTTCTTTTCTCTCATTCACTTGTCATCTCCTGATTTCACACTTTAACAAATTTCCTGCCAAACATCTTTTCAAAAAGAACATTTTATCATTTATCATTGGCTTACTTCATCTTATATCAGAAAATTCTTTTCTGCAATTATAGGAGCTCATCTTAACCCAGCTGTTTCGTTCTTCCAGCTTACTCAAGGAAAAATCAATGCTATCCGATTTATTCTATTTGCTATTGCTCAAAATGTGGGAGCGTTCTTTGGAGCCATGCTCACATACATTGTATACTACGGTAATCTTTTGAAGGCGTTTCCCTTACTCGACTATAATCTCACCTCAGATGCCATCAACGTTTATGATCATGGACTTCGTAATGTTACTGGACCAGCTGCTACAGCTCATATCTTCGCCACATATCCTGCTTCATACCTCAGCACTTTTGGTGGAATAATTGACCAGGTTAATTGTAATTCTACAGAACCTAATATCAGTTTTCTTCTCTTAGATTGTTGGAACCGCCGTTTTGTGTATGGGAATTGCCGCCATCACAGATAGAAGAAATCGCATTCCCCCTTTCCTCCAAGTAAACACGAACAGAAACATATAAAATATAACTAATCTATTCTAGCCAGCTTTTGTTGGTAGTCTTTTGGCTCTTCTTGGAATGTTCGTTGCCATGAATGCCGGTATGGATATTCGGCGGTGACGTGATTATATAACTTCAAACTTCCAGGTTATGCCGTCAATCCAGCAAGGGATTTCGCTCCCAGACTCTTCACACTCATTGTTGGCTATGGATGGAAAGTCATCAGGTAGTAACATTCAGAGTTATATCAAGTGATATGAGCTGTTCAGTTATCGTTCATACAAGTGGTTCCTCATCCCAATCATTTGCCCAATGATTGGAGCTTTAGTGGGAGCATGGCTATACGAGTTCTTTATTGGATTCCACATTCCTGATGATCCAGAAACTACCTATATCCACCGAGTATGAATGAAGCTTGAAGCAATAATCTTGATGTTCAATTTAGATTCTTGATGACCGTAACCCAGACGGTCAACTTCGCGAAGTTCATTTAATTGAAACGAAACCGTAAGTGTATAATTATCAATTAAAAAAAAGATGATAAATGATTTCCAGATACAGTGAATCAGAAAAGATAAAAGAAGCAAATGGAGAGCAGACTACACCAACTCAATATAGAAATATGTAAATTTCTGTTCTAATAAGTAGGAGACCATAGCTTTACGAAAGAACTTTTTCAACTTTTCTTTCACATCTTCACCGAATATCTCATATTTCTATTGCATTAGTTTTTAATAAAAGTTTTAATGAATAAACCGACTTGAGATTCAACAGTTAGTGATGTTATCATCCTGATAAATTTGTGAATGTGTTATGGAAGCGTTTTCATCTGATAAGATTACGAAAAAAGGATTTCAAACAGACCGAGTACTTGAACAGAAGCTTGGTATTCTTCAAATAATTCGATCTACTAGATTATCATATAGATCGAATTATGTTAAAATACTTTATTCTACTAATTCTCAGTTATATTGTTAGATCTCAGAATGTAGATAACGACGTATGTTTTCATTTTCATCTAATTAGCATAATCCGTGATGTCACGCAAACCGTGTCATTTTTCATTTCCATCGACGTTATCCAGTAGAGCGGTTGATCACAGACTTTGAGCAGTTCATGTCCAACTTTCAAGCTTTGTAATTTCAGGCTTTAGCAAAAGCTTTCCTGGTTCCTGCTTCACTCAATGGGTCTATCTATACCAATGCCTCAGATGCCGTTAGTTGCTACAAGTCTAACAACTATAAAGCTGGATTTCTCAAGTATGTCTAACTATATCGGAATATTTTAATTTCTCTTTTTCAGTGTGTTTTCAGGTAGCAAATTCCATTCGGAGGTGGCAGTTTTCTTCGATCCCATGCAGAAAAGTAATCTGTTTTTTCTCCTAATGCTCTTATCACTCGCAATGTTTCAGATAATATTAGCATCCAGTTCGTAGCTACTCCAATGAGGATGAACGGAAGTGATGTGGTCTCATTGATAAGACATAATTTATCCACATACGGTTTATCTCTCGACTTCTTATGGATAGATGTAAGCTGAATGGTAGACATTGTAAGATATATAATATAGATGTACTACATATGCCAACAAGATCTAACTGCCTATAATATCCAATTTCTCACTGAAATTGCACAGGTAATTAGGACTTCCTTTCTGACATCGTAAGGGTTCAGAATGTACGAGTGGGAATAAAGTCATCTTTCACTACATGGTTAACCTGCATGAAAGATTGGGACGCTTCTACACTATCTAACCCCCTGGTTTGGTGGTATTCAAACTATAACTAACACAACCATCCTTACTTAATATATTCAGGGAAGAGGAGAACGAGGTTCCCGGTTCTTTCAACAACTTCCCTCAATTTGGTTCTTTCGAAAAAGCGTCAGTCATATCCTCGTTAACGTGGGAAAATTGTTTAGCCGTCAATAACTCGCTAATATCTGCGATAGAGTTGGATAAACTTCAAATGAACGGAATAACACAAAATTGTTTTCAGTCTCGTATATAGAATAGATGATTTGAAAAATGAGCTTTCGACTGCTCCATCACCAACTATCGGCGGTCCAACTGACCCACCGGTAAGCTAGCTTAACAAAGATATTAAGCTTGCACTTTCTTTGAAACAGTTCGCGTACGGTGACGGAATGATGCTGACTATGCAAAAAGAGAACCAGACTTTCGTAAGAACATCTGAATGTCTCAGGAAATACTACGATACTGTATTCCTCAGGTATTGCTTTTGATTAATACATGTGATATTGACATCGTCTGCTTCAGTATATATCGTGTTACAAGTATTGACACCAAATCGACTTACATTATTCCAGCGCTTTTGAATGGTATATATTTATTAGAAATAGTTATGTGATAATACATGTTAAGCTTCATTCACCATACAACCAATGATCACTCCTGATTATACACAAAGAAGACCCGAGGATGTTCTTGATGTTACACTACGTGTAATGGCAAGCTACGGTATTGTAACTGAATTTGTTTGGATTAATGTACGCCAAGTTTCTAACATTATTTTTGAATCAAGATCCATTCAGACAGAATTCATGTATCAGGGTGTTGACGTAACTATTCCATTTCTGAGAAATATGAGCTCTACTATCAAGGTAAGATACTCATTCGCGGATAGCCCGATTAATTCCTTTCTTGAAGCGTAGGAATATGACAATGGGAATCATGACCACTAGCCTACCATGGATCGAACTGATGAATGATTGGAAGGAATTAGCTGCGGACGGTGTGATCCTATGGTAATTATCAGTCTTGACAATTTGAATTTTTCCTGTTCGGATTTAAAGGGATATGGAAGAACTGAATAGCATTGGAAGCTATATACCGTTTGGTGGTTGGTCAAAACCATATGCCTATTCAAATGATTATAATGTTGCATCTTGTGAAGGAACGCGTTATTATGCAGATGCGCAAAAGTGAAATTTTCAAAACATAATCATCATGGTATACTTTATTCAGAGCCAAGTACAATATCGAAGTTATAAACCCTGTGAGATTGACGACGACTCCTGTTACTACAACACAAGCTCCAAATGTTTGTTTCAAAATAGCAAATTCATTTCGAACAACTTCTTTTCAGAACTTAACTCAGGCTATTTATATAGTATATAATGCTCAAATGGCCATGAAAAATACCACAGGTGTATTGAACTGTTTAAGAGGACAAGGATACAAGGCTGCTTTCATTCAGTAAGTCAATCATTTAATACATTATGATTCTCAGCAATACTTGAACACTTCAGAATTTTCGAACTTACCGAAGTTAGCGATTGGATGGTGAAATTTGTTCCAGAACTATATGCTGGTAACCTATTCCTTTTTCATCCTCACTCAATCTTATTCAGCCGGCTTCGATGTTTATCCTATCATGATTCCTTCGGAGCTTTCATACGATGAGGCCAAATATCAAATGAATGAAATTCAATTGGCTTTTGCTGAAATAGGATTCAAAATAAATTTTGTGTTCTATGATGTATGTTAAGTTATTCTTCATACCATACGAATTTTTTTGAAGACTTATTATGGCGATGATTCAATCAGGAGTTTCAACACGTTGAACGGCGTCAATAAAGCGGCACAGGTAATCTTGAGACATTAGTGAGATATTTGTTCGAATCCTATTCATTCTCTCCAGGCACAAAATATTACCGTTGGCATATTTACTAATGCAGTGGAATGGTACGAAGGTTTCAACTACTCTACCAATTACAACACCCAACCTCTCTTGTATAACTGTCTTTCTTCCTTTATGATAACAGATGCTTACTTTCTTCAGTATAAAGGACTTAGACGATGTGAAAGATTTTGAATTCTTTGCTGGATGGACCTCTTACACAGGCTATTTTTACGGAGACGTTGACAGTTGTGCTACAGAGGACGAAACAATACATTTCGATCAGTAGGCTATAGAATTATATAGAAACCAATGATATTCACTCTCAGAGCATATTACTCTCCTGACCTACTGAGAGGATTCGCCGTCCAATCATTGAACTCTACTTCTACAACCCAGAGCTCTCCTAATACTTCGACAACTCCACTCAATAACACTACTATGCCTATGGCAAGCACATTGAAACCATCAAATGGTACTTCCAAGCCGCTCACTACTGCAATGACCACCTTGAAACCAGCGAATGGTACGATCATGCCATATTCAAGCACTGCTAAACCTGCCAACAGTACTAGCAAGTCTTCTATTAGTACTTTGAAGCTATCTACAACAGCAATTCCAACTAAGGTATCATATGCTCTGGAACGTAGTAAAAGTTAGAATCTGTTTACAGGACCCCGTTATAGCATCAGGGATGGTACTATCATCAGATGGACCTTCAGTACCTATAGATATGGGTTGTGTCAAATCTAACGGCTACGAAACAGTCTTCTTACAGTAACCCTGAAAACGCATAATCCTTGAAATTATTTATCTTTTTAGAATATATTACCAATATCAATTCAACTTTGATTTAGCCAATCAGACATTTTCGATAATGAATGGTATGTAGTACAAGAAGGGAAAATAAGAATAATAGTACCATTCAGCAAGCTTGAATGTTCAATACGTAGCTCAACCGGATTTCGCTTTCCAGAGAATCTCACCAGAATATGAAGTTCAATCACTTCTACAATTCTTCCAAATGCTTGGTCTTTATCCTGAATTTTTATGGATTGATGTGAGTTGTTGTGTGTACATCTTTCGATAACTAGAAAACAACAATTTCAGACAACGGTGTTAGGTAACAACGTCACTAATAATATCGATTATCTGAGTAGGCTTAGAAAAGAATGCTCGGTATGTATAAGGTCAAATATGAATATCAAAAATATATACATTCAAGCGACTTTCTATAAATACTGGAATAATGGCTAGCTCGGTAGAATGGTTCAATGGCATGAACAACGATACGAAACCTTCAACTGATGGTCAAATATTGTGGTATTTACTTTTCTATAATATATAAAAAAACATTGTTCTGTTTCTTCTCCAGGGATATCAGCTCAAACTCTAGTTTCCGAAACTTCTCTCCGTATGGTGGTTGGGAAACTCCGATTGTGATCTCAGCCCCCTCTCTTAATAAGTGCCCTCCTAAAGAACATCGACTCAAAGTTTCAGAGTTTGGAACAATTATTCTTTGTTAGCTCATTCATTTTTGTTTCAGCGTGTTATACATAAGATCTGGTCTCGATTTTTTCCAACACACAACCCCGGCAACTACCAACCCAGTTCGTACCACAACCTTTGCAAAGAGCAGTAGCATTGTACCACCAACGAAACCAACTCCAACAAAAACTATATCAACAAGCACTGTTGAAACTTCTACGAAAGCTAGTTCTATATTGATGTTCTCCCATGT